CCGCCCTCCCGGTCCTCGGGGGCCCCCGGATCCCGCCCTCGCCGGGGTCTCCGGCCCAGGCAGCCTCACCGGTCACGCAGCCGTTCACGGCGGTGGGCTTCTGCGCCGTGACCACGTAATTGTACGACATGTCGAGGGCTGGGGGGGCCTGTCGAGACGCGAGCGCAACGAGAGAGAGACGGACGCCATCAAGGGTGGCAGTATTCTACAAAATACACTGAATTCCTACTAGCACATATGAATTCCTTTTTTCACTTATTAAAAATGTTAGTAATAGCACTACTTATGAAACCATAAAAATATGGCAGCATAAATTTATTAGCTTTCTGTGCACATATATAATTCCATTAATACAGTAGATATTCAGCTCTGTTTCTCAGATATCATGCAAACCATAGAGTAAGGGGGTGGCTCGGGCTGCCATTCCTTTGGAACCGGAAGAGCCGCAGGGACCTGGGGAGGGGAGGGGGTGACCGCAGTGTGTGCAGCTCCCAGGCTAGGACCAAGGTCCGTACCTCCCTCCCCTCGGCCCGCCCAGCTCCCCAACCCAGCTGACCCCAGAATGACCCTCCCCTGACCCCAGAATGGCCTCTCACCCCTGCCTCACCTGGGGGAGGGGTGGTACCAGGAGGCTCACCTCTCCCCTTTGAACTTTTGTTTTATTCTTCAGACTTTGAAGGGCTGGCCCAGCACGGTTAGTGCCCCTAATTTCTGTGCAATTTCTAACCATGCAAAACCAGAATTTCCCGGGAGAACCTTAATGACCCAGAAAGGCAGTCCTTAGCTCTGCAACCTAATCGGCCTCACCAGATCACGTGGTTGGGGGGGGTGCGGGAATGGGGGACCACGTGGTCTGGAGCGCCTGCAGAATGCCACAGACCTTATGGCCCCATTTTACAGATGAGGAAGCTGAGGCCCCTGGCCATTGGTTTACCTAAGATGCCCCAGTAAGTCAGAGGCAGAACTAGGCGCAGAACCTGGTGTGGCCTCTTCCCATTGCAGACTCATTCCCTGCGCCCAAGACCCTGAGTGACCCCAAGACAGCTCTGAACCAGGCGGGACTGAGGGGAGCTGAAACATGCCTAGGGGCCCCAGGGGTGGTTTCCCACACCAGGGACGCTGCATGACTTTGCAGGCATTGAGTTATCGGTGGGAAGAGCACAGGCTTTGTAGAAAGACTAGACGTGGGTTTAAGTCCTGGCTCTTGGCATGACCTTGAACAAGTCCCTAGAGCTTCGGGGTCAGTGTCCTAGAACTAAAATGTGCTCACAGCTCAGCTGCCTTCCTCTTGGTTTGGTACCAACAGCAACAAGAGCAAGTGCGTGAAGATCTCTGTGAGTGTATTCACTGCACACGATGCTTATGTGGGACAGGGTGTTACTCTGGTTCATCGCACCCTTGGGTGGTGAGGTGGGTGCTCTCTGTGCCCACTGTGAGCAGATCTGCCTTCTGGCAGCCACGTCAGGTGAACCTTGGCCAGCCCCACGCTCCACTCCATCCCCAGCGCACGTTCTGGAGTTTAGACTTGGATCAAAGTCTGGGGCAGCTCCCCAATTACGAGGGCTTGGAAGCATGATGTGCCAGTAGCTGCGAGCACCTCCAGCGACCCACATTCTCACTCTCCTGCAGGTGCTGCCGCCACCTGCACCGTGCTCCGGCCCAGGCAGCACCCACAGGATCGCCCGTCCTCCGGCAGCTCAGTGCCAAGGCGCCAACTCAGCCTGCTGGCTTCAGCACCTCCCACCATGGTGAGTCACAGGGGGGCCAGGACTGGGGAAGGACACTGTGGGCTCGGGGCATGGCGGGGGAGCAGGGGGCCAGCATGCCAGCCCTGGGCACGCGGGAGTTCCTTACACTCTGACCAAGAGATGCTGCTGCCTCCTAAGGTTCAAAGAGGTTAAGACAGAGGGTCCCTCTCGGGGCCTGGTCCCTGCTTCCCTCCATTTCCTAGCTAGTCCCGCAGGCCCAGGGCTGCGGCCTCTGAGTCCCTCCCGGGCCCATCTGCCCCCTGGTCTGGGCATGTCTTTGGAACAGTCACAGTTCCCTGCACTGGAATAGACACTGTACCAGCTACAGAGGGACCACGTGGGCTTGTGCGGGCTGGGCCCACGGGGGGTCTTCACTTGGGGACGCGCAGCACTGTGAGCATTGCTCCCTCTCCACATGGAGCAGATGTGCACCAAAGCAGGCCTTGCACAGACCTGGTCCACATCCAGCGGCCACTGACCAGCTGTGTGGCCTTCTACAGACGACGCGCTCTCTGAACCTCTTTCTCCTCGCAGCACGGGCCGGTTAAGCCTCCCTGCAGTGCCCAGAGGTGTTTATCAGACGGGTCCTGGGTCGAGCACTGTGCCCTCAGGCCAAGGGAACCATGATGGCCCTGGTTCCCGCACGCCTCTGACTCTGGGGCGGGAATGGCTGTCAGCGATGAGGTGGGTGGTGGCGCTGGAGGCCAAGCTTGGAGCCGAGACCAGCCCCAGCTTTGCTGCTTGTCCAGTCCCTGGCGGGAAGAGCTCCGCCACGCACAGCCGCGCTGCAGCCCCCGGGGAAGCAGCAAAGCGGAACCCGTGTGGGAGCCGGGCAGGCGTCTGCTGGCTGTGTGATCTTGGGTGAAGTCACTGAACTGTGCCGTGGTTTCCCCACCAGGCTAATCCTTCCTCCATAGGGTTGGTGGGAACATGGACGAGACAAGCTCAAAAGCACCGAGAAGCGTCTGACTCTCAGGCGGGGCTCGGAGTGGATCTCATTCTGGCTCTCTCCGTACTGACCTGTGTTTGTCCCCTGGAGCAGATGGCTTGGCTCTGGCCCCTGCCAGGCCCAGGCAAGGTCAAAGTTTACACAAAGGGACCTGCTGCTCACAGGCTTGAGGGAGGAGCCTCCGGAAGTGCACCTTGCCAGGGCCCGGCTCAGCTGCAGGCTGCCCCACCCTGGCCCTCTGGGTCCCTTTTGGGCCCTAGTCTCACTCTCTTAGGGACAAAGGCAGGAACGGCCTGGGTCGGCTAGTTACAGCTTCTGAGGAAGGAAGTAGCGCCCTGTATCCAGCTTTCACTGTATGACAGGCTTCCACCTGGGACCTCCCTGTTGTGCAGAGGAAGACGAAGCTCAGAACAGTGAGATGCCTTCCCCGAGTCCTCAGGCCAGGGAGGCAGGCCTGGGATTTGCTCCCAGCTGCCCGTGCCTGCAGAACCCAACCCTCCGCCCTGGCCCTCCACTCCAGGCCCCCTTTTCTGTGCATGGAAGCCATTCTTCAGGATAAATTTAAGCCTTAATCCAAACGTTTCCAAAGGACAAATTAACAAGAGAACTCACAGAAATAGCCACCTGATAAAATGAGGCAGGGTCCTGTGTGCCCCTGGTGTTCCTAAGTGGGCGTGGAAGAGGGGTCGTGGCCATAGAAATGGGACTGGTGGCCTGAAACTCCTCCTCGCTCCTCCCCCGTAGGCCTCCAAGAAGCTGATGAACTCGGTGGCAGGCTGTGCCGACGATGCCCTGGCTGGCCTGGTGGCCTGCAACCCCAACTTGCAGCTCCTGCAGGGCTACCGCGTGGCCCTCCGCTCTGACCTGGACAGCCTCAAGGGCCGGGTGGCACTGCTG